GGAGTTGATGAAAGATTGAGTGCTGGAACTTGAAGCTGCGAGACATATTAAGAGGCGTTTTGGTGTCCTGTCACCCCATCGCTCGCCACAGGTGCACGCACGCACACGTGCACGCACGAACACACACACACGCGCTGAAGATCAGAAAGTTTCTGACATGCTGTCTGGCACATCCCTATTATGAATGCAAAAATGGCAGATGCTCAAAAGAGAGCGATCTGTGTCCACATAACAGCAGAAAACTCCACAGATTTCCACAGAACTGGAACGCCTGCCAAGTTCTGCACGTTCTCCACCCTGTTGTGTGGTTGTTTATTAAATATTTTGACACATTTAACTATGCTATCATACCAATAGGTTTATAGGAGTAGTTTAAATATATTCCCTACCAAAATCAGCACAGGAAATGCAATAAAAGTCTGCATATTCCATGTAGGCCAACAGTTCTCAACCTTTTTGACCCCCACGACCTTCCATAGTCCACAACAATATTCAAATGCCCCATGATTTTGACTGTTGTTTGTGATTCACTGGATAAGGGTTAAGGATTTTTTTTTTTTATATATATATTTTTACTCAATTTCTAATGAAATGTATATTTTATGGCATTTTAAGATTTTACAAATCTTAAACAAGGAGTTGATGAAATATTTAGTGCTTTTTTAAATAAGTTTTCTAGGTCTAGAAATTGGTTTTCCAAGACTGTGGTAATCCTGGTTGTTGAGGGGCACAATGACATATCTTGTTTTTTTATTTTATTATTATTTTTATTTTATTTGAGCTAATTTAATGGATGTTTTGTCTTATTTTGAATCATTTTAAGCCATATTGAAGCCCGCTTCAAGGTTTGCTGAGGCACTTGGTTGAAAACCTCTGATCTAGGCCTACTCACGTGAATTATTGCATAGTTTTCATTTTTTGGGGCTTTATATCTAAAGATAGTAGAAAGTGACAATAAAATTAAGTAATGGATTTAATTAATTAATTGCTAAACAAATAAGCACCACAGGCCAGACCTGAAGTCGTTTCCTCACACATGAGCACTATAAACGTGGACTAACTACTGAACTACTCTAAAACACAAATGCTTCACAAATAGGCTACTTACTTTAAGGACAAACTTTGCATGCATGAATATCACTGCATTAGATAACAAAAATAAAAAATAAAAAAACAAACCAAGTGGCATTTACATAAAAAAAAGATAGCATAAGCACTTTCGAAGCAAAACTGTTCACAAAATAAGTTTGTTAGGTTATAAATAATGGAATAAAAAGTCCACTTTGTGTTTGTAAAGCGAACTTGAGGAGAACTGACTTCATACAGTTAATAAAAATAGCAATCAGTTAATTAAATGGAAATGCAAAATGGCTTAGTAAAAGGGAGCGCAGTATCATATGCTTGCAGACGACACTGGCTTTAATATTTTGTTATCTTATGCAATGATATTCACACATTTTAGTATGACTTAAGTGTCCAAATGATTTCTGTGGACATTTGCTTTCTAATAAATGTATTTTTAATTAATTTATTTATTTTCACAGAGCAAAGCATGATAAAAAACACTCTTTCTCTTTCGCTCTGATGTTTTTAAAGCATGGCAGTCAAGGTCAGGCCGTATGGCGGCTCCCAAAACATGCATGATCATAAACACTTAGCGGCTTTGTAAACTATCCATTAACTCATGGCTAATTTACTGATGAGTCTTATCTCCCAAAAAGAACGGACAAAGGTTCAGTCTCTCTCAGTGCTGCGTGTCTGTGACCATACACTGCTTTTGCCCTTCACAGGCAGCTAAGCTCTCATCTGCCTTAAAGGTCCCATGGCATGAAAATTTCACTTTATGAGGTTTTTTAACATTAATATGAGTTCCCCTAGCCTGCCTATGGTCCCCCAGTGGCTAGAAATGGCGATAGGTGTAAACCGAGCCCTGGGTATCCTGCTTTGCCTTTGAGAAAATGAAAGCTCAGATGGCCCAATCTGGAATCTTCCCTTTATGTCGTCATATGGGGAAAGGTTACCTCCCCTTTCTCTGCTTTGCCCGCCCAGAGAATTTGGCCCGCCCATGAGAAAATGAGCTACTACTGTGCGAGGCGAGCGCAATATTTTTTTTTCCTCGAGAGACATCATGGCTTGCACACGAGCGAAGCATGGCAGTTGCCCCGCCTCTCTCCTCCTCATTAGCATTTAAAGCTACAGACACAGAAATGGCACGTCCTAAGGAAAGCTCATTGTGGGACTGGCTCGTAGTGGCTGAAATTCTGCACCAAGGCTGAATTTCGGGAAAGAGACTTCAGATACAGTACTAGGGACCACTTAGGCCTATATAAAAGCATCCAAAAAGCAGCATGTCATGGGACCTTTAAAACCAAACCCTGCATCTATAATTCATCTCTTGCTAAGCATGATCTGGGTGATATAAATGCTATTATTTAGCCAGGCGGAAGCGTGGAGTGCTTTGACAGAGGACTTCTGAGCTCTCCGCTAATGACCTAGCGCTGCTGTCAGAATCAATCCGGCCCGCTGCCCACGCAAATGACAATGCACTGTGGGAGTGGACATAACGGTCATTTCTGTGGCCCGGAGTGCCGGCGCGGCCCGTGCTGACACCACCAGGACCGCAACACCCTCGGGCCAACAGAGACGCTATTGGAGGAAGAGTAGGGCGCTGAAACACAGAAAAAAGTTTTAAAGGTACAGTAACAATTTATTTACCGTTGCAGGAAATCTTGCAAAGTAAATATCCTCTGTTTTGATATTTACCTCTGTGTATTGGACCAGAAACAGGCCTTTTCTAAAAATACACTAATTTTGTTTGTGAGTTGTGGCAGAAAAAGACACTATTGATATTACTGTGCAATGCCATTAAATAGTAGTGAGAAAGTAGAGCACCACAACAGCTGCCTTCACACAGACATGCATAGTAAGCAGCTAATTGATTATCTGGGTTGACAAAACTCGGTGCTTAATGTGTTCAAGCTTATTTGTGCACAAACAAAGAGGCACAGAGGGTTTTCTGTGCTGAAATCTGGTTGCTGGGTCACATAACAGCAAACTACACAAGTAAACAAAAAATCTTACTTTCAAAATATTTCAACTAAACATACTGTACAGTCGTTCCATGTTTATTTTATCTTAAATAGCATTAAGATGACAAAAAACTGCATTTGCAACAAATTTCACTTCCATTATTTGAAGCATTTATGGATGCAAAACAATATATGTAAGGTGGGAAACAGTATTAGGCCTATGTAAAGTGGGACTTAATTGTCATAATTCCCAACCCTTGTGGTTTTGGTTGCAGCAAAAAGATCACATTTACTGTCACTCTGAAAAAATGCAGTCATTTCAATAGGAATAGCTGAAATTTTGCTAATGTGACCATATTTACTTTGAAGTCAAATCAAACGAAGAACTTATGCTAAACTATAATATCATTCATTCAAACAAACAAGCACCAAACGAGATACGAGATGCGATGAGTATAACTCTATGTAAAAGCACACATATACGTGTGTGTGTGTATTTATGCGTAGCATCCGTTTGCAGGTGAAGGCCAGTTAGCAGCTCTTCCCCCACATCCTCTTTATTAAACGCTATCAAACACGGTTTAAGCTGTCTAAAATTAGCCTCGGCGCTCAACAACTAATGACTGCCTTGCATCCATTATTAGTTCATTTTCTTCAGATCAATCACCAGCCGAGCATGCTTTTTTTTAAATGTCATCCTAAAACTTTTCACAATCAATTAAGCTGAAGATTAATGGGGACAATTTGCCAGGAACAAGTCCTTCCTTGAAAAGGCCACGCCTCGACAGACTTCCAGCCTGGTATTGGTGTTAATTATAAATTTCCGCTTTGCTGTCACACACTTAACCTGTCGTAAGGGAATAGCGCTGGCAGTCCAGGGACCGGCGAACCACTATTTAAATATTCCTAATCTGCTTTTTTGGACACAGGTGACTGGTGTGAATTGCGCTTTTCGTTCTGTGTCATTAAAACGAATTTGAAAGAACATCATTGCTGTAGCTAAGCATGGATAAAAAAGGCTTTTTCTACCCTCTGAGGTGAAATAAGAAAAATCCCTCCCCTCTTGAGCTTTCCAGAAACACCGGTAGACTGAGGAAGTGTCATCCTTCATTTACTCACATGCTAAACAGATCAGAGACGCCACATACTGTATGTCCTGAGACAACAGACCTGTAATCTCTAAACACACACATTAGTACATCTGTGACGGATTTCATTCATCCAGGTCATTGTGGAACACCTGCTAGAACTTATTCATAAGCAACTGGATTTTGCTGTTCATCCTATTAACTTACTTATGAATATTTACGAACAACAGATTACTAAATGTCCAACGTCAAAGACATCCAAGAAGGGAAAATATAACATTTCATGCTGCCTTCAAGTCCTCCTCAGAGTGCAGTACAACTTATAAACATTGTAATTACGTTAAAGTAACATTTTTAGGTCAAGATGTAATGCACAAATAGGGCAATTTTATATTTTTCCTCTCTTTTTAACTTCTCTCTTGTAAAAGTGCTAGTAAAACAAAATGAAGTGCACAGGATTCACATAAAATACTGCCGCAGAATATCTGAAAACTTGAGTCAACACTCAAGGAAAATGTACAAATAATGATCATAACTATTTATCTCATAAATAAGAGTATTGACATGGCTTGAAGGCAACATCAAATTTGTCAAGAAAAATACAACCACCCCTTTGAAAACAGTCATGCAAACCTGTGTGACCATGTGAAAAAATAAATAAAAATAAAATTAAAAAATCAGCTCAAACAGACCTTTTTTCTTTTGCCTAAATAAAAATTAGAGCACCTTTATGAATGCATACACACCTGTGTGCATTACATAATTTATGCATTTAAAATATGCATAGTATGATCTTCATACCCAGTGTTGATCTCATGTTAGTCCCAACCCAAGAGCATCAGGGTGTTTCAGTTGAACAAAGACAGTGGAAACCATTGGAATCTCATCTTACCTGCAGGATGTGGCTGCCAAGGTGAGGCTCAAAGATCTCCGCGGCAACAGTGCTGGGGCTCCGCCTCCGCTGGGACCCGATAGCTGCGGAGAGAAGCACACAGCATGAGCGCACTGTGTCGGCATGCGCATGCACACGCACGCACACACGCTTCCACTTTAAATCCGACCCGACTTGGAAACAAAATCCGCCTGTGCGATTTTAAACAGATACGGTAAACTGTTGAGCAAACACTTCCGCCCCAATAATACTAAGCCCCCGGTACTGTAAATACACAGATGCAAATCAAAGCCTCGGAACAGCTCCCTTCTGCATATTCAGCCGGGCTCGGCGCTACAAAGCCCGCTGTTTATAGCAGGACTAATATCACGACAACCATTGAGCTGCAAAGCACCCGGAGAACAGCGCCCTCAGGGCATTTTTTCCAAGTTTCCAACTTTAAAGTCGGCTCAGGCTCTGCTAAAAAATGGCCTGGGGTGATTTCAAACTTAACAGACCTTGTCCCACCAGAGCTCATTATAGAGAATTTTATAACAAAGTGCTCTGTACTTAATTTTCCAAGCCTAGCCAGGCGTTCGGGTAATGTTGCTGAATTAAATGCAATTAATGATGTAATAAAGCACTGAACGGCCATTAAGGATTCTCAAGGACCAGCAGCAAACAATGCTTGCCGTTTGGGGAGGGTGCAACAGGACAGGAGGACGTCGTGCCCCAGGTGAGCAGCACAAGAGGGCCCGAGACACAAATGAGAGGCCTATGTCCTTCAGAGAGCCTCAGGCTGGGTAAACACACTTTTCCCCTCCGGTAATGCTTTCAGCGGTAAGCCCTGTGTCCGCCCCGGAGGAACGTTCGTGCCACAACATGAGCGGGAAGGGCAGCGGCAGCTGGAGGAGAGAGAGAGAGAGAGACGGGTTCTCAGCTCTGTCCCTGGAGCGCCGGGGGTCAGTAGCCGCCACTGCAGGTGGAAACACAAACAGTCCCGAGCCGGTGGGACTCGGACACTGCGGCTCGCAGCGCACAGCAGAGGGAGCTCTCACGCTCTGAGGATCGCACAGAAAACATGCACACATACCTGCACATCAAATACTGGGTGATACACGCATTTGTGCAAACGCAATCAGTGCAACCTGAAGCTCAACACACGTGTGCTTAACACACTAGAGCTTTTGGGACAAACGGAAGTCTGTCTGATGTCGAGTTTGGTTTGAAAAGATTTGGCAACACAAACAGGTCCAAAATTGATGCTTGGCAAAAAACGAATGTGAATAAAACTGGACATCGACAAGTAAATGAAACTAACCTACAGTAGGAACTTTAACATAATACATGGTAACATATAGGGCTGCACGATTAATCGCATGCGATATTTAACGCGCATCTTATCAGTAAAGCCGGTTCTGTAATCAGCGGTAAATCTCCATCACCTGCGGGCTTTCACATTGAGCAGCATTAACTACACAGAGCTGTTGTTCACTGATGAGCTGCGCTAAACCACGTTCATATTCGCGCGATTTTTTGCGCAGCTCATCAGTGAACAACGGCTCCGTGTAGTTAATGCTGCTCAATGTGAAAGCACGCAGGTGATGGAGATTTACCGCTGATTACAGAACCGACTTTCTGACAAGATGCGCGTTAAATATCGCATGCGATTAATCGTGAAGCCCTAGTAACATATTTAATTGTAAGCAAACATTTACTGTGAGTTTTTTCCCAATAAATAAAAGAAAACAAGTCCCACACAGTAAATACACTGTAAAATACACACACACACAAAAATATCAAATTTAAAATAAATTAAAAAAGAAAATAAGTCCCGCACAATACAGTAAAGACATTGCAAAATAAAATAAAATATAAAGTATAATTATAAAATGTAATTAAATTAAATTTAAAAGAAAATAAAAGTCCTGCACAATACAGTAGACACCATAAAATATACAATAATAAAATAAATTAAAACATAAAATCAAATTTAACTAAAATAAAATGTAAGACGTCCCACACAATATAGTAAAAACACTGCAAAATCGAAAATAAAATAAATTAAAAAATTTAATTAAATTAAAAAGAAAGTCCCACACAATACAGTTGAAGATGCTGCAAAATCGAAAATAAAAAATTAATTAAAATAAATTAAAACAAAATACATTTTAATTAAATTAAAAACGTCCCACACAATATGGTAAAATACATTAAAAAAAAATGTAAACAAATAAAAATAAATAAAATAAAATGCAACCTGAATGGAACCCAGTGTGAACACAGCATATAATGTGCTCTAGCAGACATCTGAACCCAAACACCAGCAGTCCAAGTAAGTCAATGAAGAATATACCAAAGTTAAGAGGTCACTTGACCAGCTTCAAATTACCCTCCTCTCTGTACTTAAAGACGACATCTCCAGACAACAACTCTCATCACACAAGGATCCTCGCTTAAGACCACCGCAAGGAAATCAGCCACACGTCCTCCAAATTCCTTGACCTTGAGGAGCTTTTCAAACTATAGGCCTAAACTCTGCGGTTAATATTTCATAATGAAAAATGTGAACATGTTGAACTGCAGATGAGCTTATCGAAACAAAGTGCAACCAAGTGGGTTGAGTCTTAAAGCCTAATCTGTCGCATTCTGAGACCCTCGCACCACAGACAGATTTCAAGTGCATTGAAAACAACAAACAAAGGCATCTTAAACGACTCTGATGTCCCCTGGTTTAAGCACACTCGATACTGTCCAACGATAAGACTATGCGACTGTGTCTCCATCCCTCTGCACAGCTGTCCGAGCAGCCAGAGAGATGAATATAATTGCATATTGATCTCAGGAATTATGCTCTATTAATCTGCTTCATTTTGCTCGTGACGCAAATGATATATGAATAAAGAGCTTGCGGGAGCACAGAGGCAACACAATGTCTGTCCTGCAATGATTCTCCATAATACATCTTCTCCGGTTTAGCTCCCTGCCACGCCAGATTGAGCACATTCAAATATATTACGCCGAAAACGCGAGCAAATACATCACAGCTGCTCTAATAAGTCCCGCACAATACAGTAACAGCACTGAAGAACATACAGGATTGGTGTATTGAGAACTGGGATTTTGTCAAAGACATAGAGGCTGATGTTATTTCATTCAGAGTATCGCAATTCCAAAAACGCAATATTCCAATGTCCTTGACGCCAATTCGTGGACATGCAAATGGACAGTCTGCATCAGATATAGACTAATAGCATTTTATTATGAGACAATATTGTTTCCATTTGACACTTTCAATATGTAACGCTAGTCCTCAATACCCGCCACGCCACAAACAGCATTTGGTGCAAGACTGCAATAAATGCAATTTGTTACTCGCCGCAGTGGCAATTTCAAATCGCTTGCGCTATTAGAAAGTCAATTTAACTTTCACTTTTATAAGTCAACATTATTGCTATTGTTAATTTATTTCTCATTGAATGCGAAATTGGCAGCAAGGCATCAGACTGTCATTTTAAATCTGCAATAATTTCTCGTGAAGCTTAGACCTCTTATTCCCTAGTCGTGGATTATTGGAGCTAAATGCCAGTCCCTGGCTTCACCAAAGGCTCAGGGGCAGGTACTGTTACACAAATTGCCAATTCAATTAACGGAGTGTAGACGCTCAACTGGCAGCTGGCATGCAGGACGGCTATTTTGGCAAGTGTCAGGCCTAATTCATCAAGCTGTCAATGCTCTCGTGGTCGGAAGCCGCGGACGACGTCAAAGCCGTGGACGGCACAATGGGAAGTCGCATAATCCAGCGAAACTCATGTGTTAAGGAATGCTAACTCACATGCTAACCGGCCACACTTGAGTCTGCGGCGATCAGATGAGGCTTTCAGGATCTAACCAGGACTGTAAATGTGTTTTCCAGGAACTAGGGAATATCAGTCAAAAAACTGTTCATTTCAGTAAGTAAACCTGTCCCTTGACACAACTCTTTTAGTACAGGCAATGCCTAATGTTTAACCAACTCAGTTCACATGCAAAGAGGTTAGCCAATCATAACAGCCATAAAAAGTCATTTGCATACATAATTCTTACATTCACAGTAGAAAAAAATAGCATGTTTACTCATGAAAGAGAGAGGGTGAAAAATATTCACATAAAACTCAAGAGTGTTTTTCATGTTTCAAGAAACCCCTACTATCATTAAAAGTAAACTTTAAAATTGAAAAGAAAAAAAAAGTAGGCTATGGCCCATAACATAAAATGTATTTACAGAAGAAAAGAAAAAAAGATATTAAGCTATTATAAAATATTATATTATGGGTGTTTTCACAACCATAGGTAGTTTAAAAACATTGACTATCATTGAAAGTTTAACTTTAAAATAAAATAATAATAATAATAATCAAAAATTGTGTGAAATGACCCATTTAAGCAAACTGAATTCACCGCCCATTTTTACTTAAATAAACAAATGCATTTGCAGTTAAAAAAGATATTAAAGTATTATAAGTAATATTATTTTAAGGTTGTTTTCAGACTTATATTTACTTACATTTCAATTAAAAATACTTAAATATAATTAAAATGTAATTATTTTAAATTATATTTACTTATGTATTAAGAGTGTTTTCAGACTCATACCATTAAAAGTAGACTTTAAAATTTAAATATATAATGATCAAAAATAATTCACAGCCATTTTTACTTGTAGAAACGGATACTTTTCAAGCTGATTAAAGGTATTAAGATATTTATTAAGATATTATATGAAGGATGTTTTTAGACTTATAGTTGGTTTGTTTTGTTCCAAAAGGAGGGACTAAATTGTTATATTTATTATTATTATATTATAATAATTATTAATTATTGTTGAATCAGAGGTGGTCTCAGGTTTGTTTTTATTGTGGATCCAAGTGTGATTGCTGAGATCATATATGTCTAAAAACAAACTAAAGTTCTGAATTGAATGTAGTAGTAGTAGTAGTAGTAGTAGTAGTAGTAGTAAAAAAAAAAAGTGTAGGATAGTACTTAATTTAATCTTTTACAAATAAATTTGTTCATGAAATGTAATGTACCAGAATGGAGCGTTTGGAGGAGAGGAGATAAGTAA